TTGGTTTAAAACATCGACTTTGCACTGTATATTCGTATGGTATTTATGGCTGTATTCTAGCTTTCCTGGTCTCATTTTATAGAATGGAAGACATATTACAGAAATTGAGATGAATTTGACTGGTTTCACAATAAAAGATACATTGAAATTGAGCTCAAAGTAGCAGAAATGTTCGATTTTTGATAAAGTTCAAAAGCAAACAAATTACGCCACTCATTCAATACACGTCAACTGGTGAGTCTAATATTCTTTCACAAGTGGGCTGATATTATTTATATCATTTTTACATTAATGCAGTAGTCTGCATAACAGTAAATCTTCTATTTTTTGTGAGAATAAAAATTCAAAGTGGAAAGCAAAAGAGATATAAGAGGGGCCTGGGGACGTGACCAATGAACAGAGAAAATGTTATTTTAGTGCCAGGAATATCTGTCTTGTTTATTCTGGACCCTATTTGGAAATTGGCATGTTTTGAAATTTGTGTGTAATTGGCAAAATTGCCAATTTCTGGCCACTTTGTTGGATAGTTGAAATCGGTAAATGGGGGATTCTTGTACTCATTCAATAGAAAAGATGGAGTTCTAGTGAAGTAGTTATGATTTTAGTCAACTAGTACACTGGAATTGGCTGAAAATAGGGCTCAAAGTAGGCAAAATCGCCAATGCATAAACAGTCGAGACCGCTAACTTCGTGAGAACATAATTCCGTAAATTTTCCATCAAATTTCATACTTTTGGTGTCATTATGATCGGGAAAAGATTCTCTTATCATTTAATAAGAAATGTTTTTTTTTTTCCGAAAAATTTTTGACCCTGAGAAATTTAGATGGCCTCTTGACCCTGAAATGGTTAAATATGATGCTAATATCAACTCTACGGCTTACTTATCTATCACAATTCATCTAATATGACATAAACAATATTAACCCCTTTCAGGGTTCGTGCCATAGTTCTACGGCTTTGAGTTCTGGGTCCAAACCGTAGTTATACGCCATGAGCTCAGCTCACTCAGATAAGCTGCGAGTGGTAACTTTGGGCCTAGATAGCTATGTGATAAGTGTGCACGGCATAAAACAAATCCTGCAGTACACAGTGCATAATGAGGAAAAAAAAACCTGAGACTGTAATTTTGGATTATGTGCAAGAAAGGTATAAAATACCGACGCTATGAAAGTAAAGTCACATGTGCAGCATCTGGATATCTTTATTGTAGACGTTTCGCCATCCAGTGGCTTTATCAATACAAATTCTAGGACATAATTGGAAGACTGTTGAACTATATACAAAAGATGAGATAATCAGTCCCCTCAGCCTTGGAGTTAGTGTTCACAGCATCGTGGTGGAGGAGAATCTGGAGTAAAGGCAAGAAGACTGGCGGTTATATATGCGTCAGTGGATAAGGACATGCAGCAGACGAGGGCATAGTCACTGGTAGGTGGGATTCCCCAGTGGAAGTAGGTCCTTCCCAAAGAGATGGGTTAGTTGCAGCAGCTGTGAAGGCCTTGTAGATGTCCTCTGAACCAAGATTCCATGATGTTGCAGTGTCTGACAACAGTGTCTTGCACAACTTGTCAGACACTGCAACATCATGGAATCTTAGTTCAGAGGACATCTACAAGACCTTCTTAGCAGCTGCTGCAACTAACCCATCTCTTTGGGAAGGACCTACTTCCACTGGGGAATTCCGCCTACCAGTGACTATGCCCTCGTCTGCTGCATGTGCCTATGTAACCGCCAGTCTTCTTGCCTTTGCTCCAGATTCTCCTCCATCACGATGCTGTGAACACTAACTCCAAGGCTGAGGGACTGATTACCTCATCTTTTGTATATAGTTCTACAGTCTTCCAATTATGTCCTAGAATTTGTATTGATAAAGCCACTGGATGGCGAAACGTCTACAATAAAGATATCCAAATGTTGCACATGTGTCTTTACTTTCCCAATTTTGGATTAAAACAACAACTTTGTGATGTTTTTCCTATGTTTTTTGTAGTTGTATTTACTATTTCTTGGTGTCATTTGATAGAATGGATGATACATTGCAGAAATAGAGATTATTTTAATTGGTTTTAATACTGAAAATGGCTTGAAACTGAGCTCAAAATAGCAGAAATGTTCAATTTTTGCCAATGTTCAAGAGTAAACAAATGATGTCACGCGTCTAATACACGTGAGCTGGTGGGCCTAATATACTTTCACAATGTAGTTATATTATTTATACAATTATTGCAATATTGCATAACAGTGAATCTTTGATTTTTTGGTTTGAATAAAAATTCATTATGTGAATAAAAAATCAAAATGGAATTCATTTGTAAAGCCTGAAAACTAATGAACAGAGGAAATATTAGTCTAGTGCCAGGAATGCCTGCATTGTTTATTCTGGACCCTATTTTGAAATTGGAGTATTTTGAACTTTGTGTTAAATTGGCCAAATTACCAATTTCCGATCACTTTATTGGGTGGTTGAAACAGTTGACTTGGTGATTTCTTGTGCGCAGTCGAAATGGCTAAGAATTTGGTTAACTGGAATAATGTGATTTGCCTAAAATGGGAGTCAAAATCGGCAATATCGCCGATGTGTAAATATCACTGATGCATCAAAATTCACAAAAGCATAATTTTGTCAATTTTCCATCAAATTTTGTACTTTTTGTTTTATTACTTCCAGAAAAATGTTCTCTGTCATTTCATAATTTTTTTTTTTTTTTTTTTTTTTTTTTTTGGTCCCTGTGGACAAGTCTCAAATCTTGGGTCTGGGCCCTGAAAGGGTTAATAACATAGAAACATGATATACAGTGGACCCCCAGTTTGCGATATTAATCCGTTCCTGAGAGCTCATCGTAAACCAAAATTATCGAAAAGCGAATCAATTTTCCCCATAACAAAATAATGAAAATTAAATTAATCCGTGCAAGACACCCAAATTATGAAAAAAAAAATTTACCACATGAAATATTAAGTTTAATGCACACAAACTGAAGAAGACATGCATAGTTTGTAGTACTCTACTAACAATAGAATACATGACACTTACAATTAATGAAGATCTGGTGATGATTGATGGGATGGGAGGAGGGGAGAGTGTCGAACTTATTGTTTAGAAGGGGAATCCCCTTCCATTAGGACTTGAGGTAGCAAGTCCTTTTCCGGGGTTACTTCCCTTCTTTTTTTAATGCCACTAGGACCAGCTTGAGAGTCACTGGACCTCTGTCGCACAACAAATCTGTCCATAGAGCTCTGTGCCTCCCGTTCCTTTACGATTTGTCTAAAATGGGCCACAGCATTGTCATTGTAATAGTCACCAGCACGGCTTGCAATAGCTGTGTTAGGGTGATTTTCATCCATAAAGGTTTGCACTTCAACCCACTGTGCACACATTTCCTTAATTTTTGAAGTAGGCACAGTGGATTCCACAACTGGCATAGGCTTTTCAGGGTTAGCCCCAAACCCTTCAAAATCTTTCTTAATTTCCATACTAATTCTCACCCTTTTTACCACAGGGTTGGCACTAGAAGCTTTCTTGGGGCCCATGGTGACTTATTTTGCAGAAACAAGCACCAAAAGCACTGATAATGTGGAATGTACCGAATGTATCCTTAGATGCGAGCACACTGGCTGGTTTGTAAACACTGGCATGCACGGGGCAGTTCAGGCCACACGTGGACACGTCTCGGATGAATCGCGTATGGCGGATTTTTTAACGGGAACCGAGGCAAAATTTTTGCGTTAAAATGTATCGAATACTGGATTTATCGGATACCGATGCCATCGCAAACCGGGGGTCTACTATACTCTGAATGAATAAAATATGTCACTTCGTATGTGAGGAGTGGTGGTGGTGGTGGTGTTGGGTTTATTAGGGCCACTGACAGCATAATTCGTATATATAGTGGTGGTGGTGGTGGCGGCAGCAGAGGCCACCACCACTATTCACACTGAAACAATGTACGTAATTTATAAATAAAAAATATTTACACTTACCTTGGAGGAGATGCTGGCATTGGTTTAGGGTGGTCGAAGATACCCAGGCGGTGTATGTTGTTGTGGCCCTATTTACCTCCAACAACATTGGCGGAGCTAGTTTCGTGTCCTTTTTCTATCCCTTAATCACTTTACTTACTTGCTACACTCTTAATGCTACACTTTATTGCTGGCTGGCACTATAGCCTTTATAAACTCATGCTGCTTTAGTATCGTACTTATCGTTGAATCTCTGAAGAAGGCACATTCTCCCCTCTCTCTTCCTCCTCCACTTTGGCACTTTGCTACAAGTTCTTTATTGAATTCTGTCGTGTTTCTCACTTTCTTTACCATAGAGCTGGCACTAGGAGCTTTCTTTGGGCCCATGGTGGCTTATTTAGCAGTCACATGCAATAAACAAGTGCAAAAAATAATGGATTATTACAAAATGTTTCGTATGACCTCGCAGGGTTATATTCACTCGCGGAGAAACAATGCCAAACTGGCTCAGAATGCGTGTGTGGGAGGCTTTGTGTGTGCGTGGCCACTCGGACGTGTTCCATACGACCGACGAAAACAGAGGAAAATAACGAAAACTGAGCCAGTATTTTTACCAAAAAAAAATCGGCGATAACTGTAATTCACAAAAACAGAGCCTAATGAAACAGGAGGGTCCACTGTAATTTACTGTTTATGTATACATTTTTTTTGTCTTTAATGTCTGTTTATTGTATTTTAAATTGTTTTTTAGCTTTTATCTTTTATTGTTAATTTTACCTCTGCTATTTATTTTAAATATTTTTTTAAGGAAAAGTTTATTTATTTCACGCCCTTTTATTATGACATAGGCGTAAAGGTGAATTTGACATAAGCCAAAATGATGTAAAGCAGCGTATGACTGTAGACAATCCTGATCCAAGTACCATTTGCTAATTTTTTAAATAAAATTTTGCAAAATACCATTTTTTTCACCGAAACTAGCATGTTCATTTTTCAGCAAAGTTCTGTATTAAGATTGTTTTTATTTTGTTTTTCTAGCCAAGAGACCATTGGGTATTGATCCTACTCGAGGCATTGGTACAGCATATGAAGGTTTTGTAAAAGTACCGAAGCCTGGAGGGGTCAAGAAGGGATGGTCAAGACAGTTTGTTGTTGTGTGTGATTTTAAGCTCTTCCTCTATGATATTTCACCTGAGAGGTAAGTAACATTCATTGTAGTGCAATTTTGGGGGTTATAATAAAAAGGCTTTGGAGTTTTTGTTTTTGTTTTTTAAAGATTCTTAATGTTTACAATGCATTCAACATTACAGAAGATAAGTTTTGGATATCCTTCAGACACTTAAAAATATCATTAGCAGGAGTATAAGCACCCTCATAGGTATTCGATGTCTTCAATAGAATGTATGGTACTCATCATTAAAGTATGCCAGGGGGAGGCACCTGGCATACTTTAATGTCAAAACTTAATTCCAAACCCTATTAGGTGTTTTGGAGAGACGAAAATTGATTCTGGCGTAGAAACTTATAGTATGATGTCTCAGAATTCCACCTGGATACTCGCTGCACACAGTGCCTTTGGGGCTTGTGCACACAGAGAGTGAAAGTGAGAGACAGAAAGTGAGAGTGAGAGTTGAGAAAGTGAGACAGAGTTATGTACATGTCATCAGAATCAAGATTCCATCTTGATTCTGAGGACATGGACATAACCTTCACGACTACGACAACTACTTCTACTACTAACCCATCTCTTTGGGTAGGACCTACTTCCACTAGGGAATTCTGCCTACCAGTGACTATGCCCTCATCTGCTACAAGTCCCCCCTTTCCACCTGACGTTAGTATATAAGTGCCTCTGCTTCAGAATCTCCATGACCAAGGTGCTCTTCGCATGAACTCCTAGGCTATGGGATTGATTACCTCATCTTCTGTATATAGTTCTACTATCTTCAAATTATGTCCTGGAATTTGTATTGATAAAGCCACTGGATGGCAAAATGTCTACAATAAAGATACCCATATGTTGCACATGTTTTTGCATTGTTGAAGATGAATAAATGTAGGATCTGTTGCCTGTACTCAAAGTGGTACTTGAGTTAATGTTTCCTCAAGATTACTACTATTATTTATTTTATCATTAATGTTTGGGGCCCTAGCAGCTCCCTCCACTGCAGTTGCCAGTGCCCCCACCCCAGACCTAGATGGGTGAACCCCATCCCTGGCATATGTGTCGTTTCTGCCATAGAAGGGGTCCCAGTTCTCAATGAATGTTACTGAATGTTAATGGATTCATATTAGACAAGTTTAGATTTAGAAAGGATACAGGGAAAGTATTGGTTTGGAAATAGGATAGTTGATGAATGGAACAGTCTGCCTAGTAGGATTATTAACCTTGGGTAGTTTCAAGTTTGGGTTGGATAGGTATGCGAGTAAGAGGGGTTAGATTTGAGTGTGACTTGCACGTGGGTAAGTAGAATTATCAAAACTTATTTCTTGGGTAGCATTGAAAATTGGGTTGGGCAAATATTTTGTTAGTGGGATGGATTGTGAAGGACCTGCCTAGTATGGGCCAACAGGCCTGCTGCAGTGTTCCTCCTTTCTTATGTTCTTATGTAAAGTTGAGAAACATTCTCCTGTTTGTTTTATGGCCCTTAAACATTCTCGTTGCTAAACATTAGTCATTGGGCATGCAGTAGTGATGTAATTGAAGTTTATTCTCCCCATCACCCTGCCCTTGGATTTCATGGGGGTGACACGTAAGATGTCGCCTCGGGTGACACCATCCCTAGCAATGCCACTGGGTGTACCATACCTTTAGCTTCCTTTCCAGTACTGTATTTTGGGAGGTGGAAGAGGATGGTGCAGGCTGGGGGTGTGGGAGGCAGGGCAGAATATTATGGAAGGCTGCTGTGATTGTGAAATTAATGTTTGGGGAGTGGGGGCTATGGAGTGCAGTTTGTTTCTGATTATTGTGTTTGGTTGATATGGGGTGACAGGGGTATCCATAATCATTTGTGTTTGATGTTCCCCCAGAGGCTGAGCTTTCCTGTCCATCATTGCATGTCCTCTGTCTCTTTCCTTCCAGTGGTTTGGTCTTACCCTCACTCTGAGTTGTTCCCTTTCTTTTTTGTATTCTGTCTCGATTGAGGTACACTTCACATTGAGGTACTTCCACATTGGGCAAATGTGACACCACCTATGACTGCTGCACCTCTCCTACCTACGGTTTATAAGCTCCTCCTCCGCTCATATGCCGTATTCTACTCAAGATTGATGGACTGACCACATCGACTCAAGGTTGAGGGACTGATTACCTCATTCCCCACATATTCTTCAAGCTTCTCCTGTGTATGGACTGATGAAGCCACTGTGTGGCAAAATGTTTCCTTAATAAAGATACCCAAGAGTTGCACATGTGTCTAATTTATCATCCACACTTCTTGATATTCTTGAGAGTCCTTTAACAGTGACTTCTTTTGTAGTATCCTGTTCTGTACCAATTCTGTCTTGAATGTCAGTTTGATTGGTTGATTTTTTCCCTTGAATACTCTCCCTCCCCCAAGTCTGTGAAAATTTTCTACCTGAGACATGTCCTCCTCTCCTGTTATTGCAATGATGCTCTTAATCTCTCTTTCCTCCCAATGCTTTCTTTCATCATAGGTCTTCCCTTCAGCCTCCTGAAGCCCATGAATAATTATTGACCTCTCTCTCTCTTCTTACCATTTCTTTTCCCTCCATATCTCTGGATCTGATTTAAACATTTCCTCTGTTGCTTCCATTCTCATCTGAACACCCTGATGGCCTGATATTACTACTGCATGGGATTTCATAGCTCCATCCCCTTCAGTCCCATCACTGCCTGATGATGTTCACATTTCAGCCACCTTGCTCTTTTTGGACCTTATTATATCCTGCTTCAGCACATCCATTTCTTCCTCCAGTCTCTGTATCTTTGCCTCAGCAGCTACAGCTCATGATTCCCACTTCTTGCTCTCTACAGATAGCAAAGCACATTTAACGTTTTTTTCTCATTCTTTATCCATTTTGTTCTTGAATCTTTCTACCCAACAGTGCATAAGTGTTTGCAATAAATCTAACAGAATCCTTGACTACATATCAAGAAGTATAAATAGTAGAAGTCCTCAGGTTGTTCTTCAACTCTATATATCTTTTGTTAGGCCTTATATAGATTATGCTGCACAGTTTTGGTCACTGTATTACAGAATGGATATAAAGGCACTGGAAAACGTACAAAGGATGATAAAGTTGATCCCATGTATCAGAAATCATCCCTATGATGATAGGCTGAGAGCCCTGAATCTGCACCCTCTATAAGGCATAGAATTAGGGGGGATATGATTAAGGTGTATAAATGGAAAACAGGAATTAATAAAGGGGATGTAAATACTGTTCTAAAAATATCTAATCTATACAGGACTCAACAGCAATGGTTTTTAGTTGGAAAAATTTAGATTTAGGAAGGATATAGGAAAGCACTGGTTTGGTAATAAAGTTGTGGACGAGTGGAACAAACTCCCGAGTACTGTCATAGAAGCTAAGACGATGTGTAGTTTTAAAAATAGGTTGATAATTACATGAGTGGGTGTGGGTGGGTATGAGTTAGACCTGACTAGATTATGCTACTAGGTCAGATGCCATGCTCCTCCCCTAAGTGAATATGACTGACCTGACTAGGTTAAGGCATTGGCTTAAGCCGGTGAGAGAAATGGACCGGCCTCGCATGGACCAGTAGGCCTGTTGCAGTGTTCCGTCTTTCTTATGTTTCTTACTCATTCCTTTTCAGACCAGCCATCCTCAGTTGTCCTGCCTTTACGTCCTCCTTTTTGAGATCCCATTTTATTTTATCCTGTTAGGATGCTCTAGATGCTTCAGCTTCATGTAAAATTGTGTGTGTATGAGTTTGTGTGCTAATGTGCTAGGTTAGGTTAGGTTTGAGTGAGTGTGTGAGTGTGTGAGAGTGAGTGTGCATGTGTGAGTGTGCATGTGTGAGTGTGCATGTGAGAGTGTGCATGTGTGTGTGTGTGTGAGAGTGTGTGTGTGTGAGTGTGTGTGAGAGTGTGTGTGTGTGAGAGTGTGTGTGTGTGTGTGTGTGTGTGTGTGTGTGTGTGTGTGTGTGTGTGTGTGTGTGTGTGTGAGTGTGTGTGAGGTGTGAGTGTGCATGTGTGAGTTGCATGTGGAGTGTGAGTGTGTGATGTGTGAGAGTGTGTGTGTGTGAGTGTGTGTGAAGTGTGTGTGTTGAGAGTGTGTGTGTGTGTGTGTGTGTGTGTGTGTGTGTGTGTGTGTGTGTGTGTGTGTTGGGTGTGTGAGTGTGTGTGTGTGTGTGTGAGTGTGTGTGAGGTGTGTGTGATGTGTGTGTGTGAGTGTGTGTGAGTGTGTGTGAGTTGTATATATATATATATATATATATATAATATATATATATATATATATATATATATATATATATATATATATATATATAATGTAATATAATATATAATGTCTCATAAACACGCTAGATAACAGGGATATCTTGCTACTCCTACTTACACTTTGGTCACACTTCACAGACACGCACATGCATATATATGTACATACATCTAGGTTTTCTCCTTTTTCTAAATTGCTCTTGTTCCTTTTTATTTCTTCTATTGTCCATGGGGAAGTGGAAAAGAATCTTTCCTCCGTAAGCCATGCGTGTCGTATGAGGCGACTAAAATGCTGGGAGCAATGGGCTACTAACCCCTTCTCCTGTAGACATTTACTAAAAAAAGAGAAGAAGAAAAACTTTATAAAACTGGGATGCTTGAATGTGCGTGGATGTAGTGCGGATGACAAGAAACAGATGATTGCTGATGTTATGAATGAAAAGAAGTTGGATGTCCTGGCCCTAAGCGAAACAAAGCTGAAGTGGGTAGGGGAGTTTCGGTGGGGGGAAATAAATGGGATTAAATCTGGAGTATCTGAGAGAGTTAGAGCAAAGGAAGGGGTAGCAGTAATGTTGAAGGATCAGTTATGGAAGGAGAAAAGAGAATATGAATGTGTAAATTCAAGAATTATGTGGATTAAAGTAAAGGTTGGATGCGAAAAGTGGGTCATAATAAGCGTGTATGTACCTGGAGAAGAGAGGAATGTAGAGGAGAGAGAGAAATTTTGGGAGATGTTAAGTAAATGTATAGGAGCCTTTGAACCAAGTGAGAG